CACCGCATTATGTACTATCAAAATATGTGATATAATTTCGTAGGTAACACAACGATAGCGCGATTCAGCTTTTGCGTCAAGCGCCATCTATCGGCGACAAACGGAATTGTAAAATAGAAAATTATATTTTATTGTTGTTTTAATATTAAATTATTATTGTCGATTTATAATTGCATAAGTTAATAAAAATTGCTGTGCAATAGCTTTACCGCGGCAGTCTCCGAGTGCCACACGTCTTTTTTTCTATTAACATTAAATACCTAACCGTTCACCTTCAACTAAGCAATTTTAAATCGCACTTCCAATTTGGTTCAACATCGTTCTATAACGAAGCACTTTCTAAAGTTCGTCTTGAAACAGAGAATTCTCCGAAAGCCTAATCCCATTTTCGGTGTAAAACTAAACGTTTTCGAGTTGCGTATCCGAACTGAATTTTAAACAGCAGTTCGATAAAACGTCGAAGCGATTAGTGTCGCTACAGTTAATCTGTAGTTTTGTTCCAAAGATCCGAGAAATTATTCTGTCCGTTTTCAAGAGTCCTTAAGTTTGGTTATTCTTCTTTTTTTTATTGCTTAGATTGGTGGACGAGCTCACAGCCCACTGGTTACTGGAGCCCATAGACACCTACAACGTAAATGCGCCACCCACCTTGAGATATAAGTTCTAAGGTCTCAAGTATAGTTACAACGGCTGCCCCACCCTTCAAACCGAAACGCATTACTGCTTCACGGCAGAAATAAGCAGGGCGGTGGTACTCAATGGTACGTTTTTTTTTCTTCAATCGGAAAGCTTTTGAATCTTAATTTTTTATTACATTTGTAAAATGTACATAAAGGCTTATTATACCATACACAAGGATGCATTTTCGTTTTCTCCAATACGAAGGAGTCAGTGTCTAAAAAAACAAGTAATTTGAAATCACAAAATAAATGACGATATTCACCGTGAGATGAGGATCTAAGTCTCTAATTAGTCTCATTTGTATTTTACTAAAACTGTACTAACCTTCAAATTGGAACGTATGACTGCTTCGTGATAGAAATAAGTGAAATAACAATTATGATACCTAATCATGCAAATGCCGGTTGACGATCCTACTGCGTTGACATCATAATCGGAGAATGCTGCTACCCATTCCCCAGCGAATCCTTTGGTAATCTTTTACAACAATCGCGGGAAAGGGTGGGGTGAGCTATTCTAGACTTTAACCATACACCCAAATGATCTAATTCGGTGTACAGATCACGAAAACTATAAAACGTTCTATGTTCTAAATTTCCAAAAATGCTCTAAGCCTTAATTTTATATTATCTATACCAAGAATGTCATAATACGATAGTTTTACCTAATCCATTGAGATACTCGCCGGATTTTCTAAATGGGTCACGATCAATTCCAATTCAGTGGTACATTTAGCAAAGCACTGCCTTGCTAGGGCTGGTGTTAACAAGATCTCTAATTCTCTCAGGTTGAGCCCCGTGAGCTCACCCTCCCGTCTGCTCGTAGTTAGAATAGATCTTTAAGCTACCTACGAATATGTAGGGGAATGAAACAAGAAACTTTCAACACAGTATCTACTCCACTAAGCTCTCAAGTACCTTAATTCTAAAAATTTCGTAATATATTCAAGTGAGCTTAGAGTGACTACAATTTACATATCAAATGCTTCACTCCGAGTGGTGCTTTGGGCGCATCCAAGTCTATCTACATTCAACACTCTTCACGTCTTGCTTTTACAAAGATGTTTGGCAACGCCGAGAAAACACGTAAATATCTTTTAAGCTGACTTTATTTAGATTCATTTTTAAAATTAAAATTCTATCTTCTAACACAGGAGAATCTTTGTAGGTCACTTAGAAAATGCTTTCCTGCGGTATTTTGACAGCATTTAAGGAGGTCTCTTGCCCGAACTATTCGTATCAAATTAACCGGCGTTGGATGTAGCGGTTTTGCCCCAAACCACCGCACACTGTAAACTGGAACACGTTAATTACCATCGCATATTGCGTCATGCTCCCGAATTTGGATGGCACTCATAGTTCTAGGGCACTACACAGACCACGAGTGCCTCTACCCGAGCTTGTATTTGGCAGTATTATACCAAGGTATTGTGTCCTAGCTATGGAACTTAGATAGGAATTTATGTACGTAATTGTAATTAGTGTCCAGATATTAGGGGCTTAATTTGAATTCAGAAATTATAATATGAAGTTAATTTTGTAATATGACTTCTATTAATTTTGAAATTATTCGAGCCTTTATAGGATGTCTCCCATTTATGTAGACGAGTTCTTTTATATTTCAACGCTTGATAAATAATAAAAATCGCCGGTCACTAACATAACTCCAACGTTATTTCTTAAAAACAAATATTAATGTTTTAGAAAATTTGCAGTGAAACATCCAATAAACACGATACCTACATATAATGTACGTCAATTTTCATTTTAAAATACAATGTCCCATTTCCATTATGTCCTTGTTATATACAACGCGTGCAAGCGAGACTTTGTTAAGGATGCATCAGACCACGGAAATTGTCGCTTCGATTGTTTTGAATTTCAAATTGAGTCACATTTTTCAAAATACACGCCCCGAGAGACGTTGAATAACATTTTTAAACGACGTTGTGGGTTCTACGTTCTCTTAAATTGTTTATTAATATTGAATATTATTTGTAAATATTTTGGTCTTGAAAAATTTAGGTAAAATCGAACGAAGGGATGGGGGGGGGGAGTTTTTAATATTAATATAAACTAGAGGTCCCGCAGTAGTCGAAATTCGATTATAATCAATTGGAATTGTCAGTTTGTACACTATTATGATTGTATTTTATACTTCTATAATCACAAATTTTGCCAAGACTACATTATAAAAAATATTTACAAAGACAAACCATATTTAAGCTATTCTCAATTTGACAACAGACGTCAAGAACAAAAGTTTGACAATAAATAGTATGCATGCGTGTGTGCGTCAAATACATGGTATGTAGTGTGTGTAATGTTTTCTTTATTGATTTAATGTATCTTTTATGCATTATTTTTAAAAAAATATTAGATTTGTGCACTTCTTCTCTATATTCTCTATAAGTGTGGAAAATTTCATACTCCTCCGTCCGCGCAAATTTTGTAAAAGGGACATACAAAGTTTTTGCTTCACGTATGAATACATAGATATTAAAAACTCAATCACATGGCAATATTTTTTTTTAAATTTAGTGTCATATTTTATGCAATACCCATTACGCCATATCATATTACTTACTTTGCAATTCAAATACTTAAAATTTTGGTTTTGGAAATAATTTTATCGAGCATAAATGAAGCTGTGACGTCATATTAAATACGTCACGCTGAGCGCAAATGAATAGCAATTCATAATCAAGCTTCCTGCCAGTTTTGTATTTTAACCGACTTCAAATAAGTAGGAGGTCAATTAAATGGTATTTCTTTGTGTGCTACCTCAAAACAATTTTCAAGATTTTCCGATTTTAATTATTGTTTTATTTGAAGGTCGGTGCTTATATATAGTCCTATTTATGTATTTACTTATCCTAATAATTCATATTTCATTAAGTTCGAATAAATTAGTGATATTCTCATTTTATTTTGTTGAAGCTGAAGGTTTTCTTTTTTGTTAAAATTTTTGTTAATGATTTTGTAAAATGTATAATCATCTTTTCCTTTATCATAATTTTTTTGAACTCACAACAAAAACAACACTGATCGGACAAAACCCTATTTAGTTTAATATTTTTTAATTATATAATTAGTTTTTTCTTCTTGATTTTGTTACTTAAATTTAAGTACGACTTTGCTAACGTCGGGTAGTATCAACATAATTATGCTAAAACATTTATATTACATTTAAAGGCATAAACTATTAGTAAGAACTATAATTTTATACTATTAGCGTCTATGAAAGATCCAAGCGAATAGACTACCTTTTTAATGGAGAAAGTTAATAGGAAGTTCGTGTTGATGTGGAAGGGTTTTATGTTTCTTAATAAAATTGAAAGGGTATCACACTTATTGTAATTATATTAATAATATTACATTATGCATTTATAAGATATATATAGGATGAAACCGTTATGTTGTTAGTACCTTTTAACTACTGCCAAGTATTAGCATTTATATCATTTATAATAAAATATTGTTTTTTTTGTTTTATTGCTTAGATGGTTGGACGAGCTCACAGCCCACCTGGTGTTAAGTGGTTACTGGACCCCATAGGCATCTACAACGTAAATGCGCCACCCACCTTGAGATATAAGTTCTAAGTTCTCAGTATAGTTACAACGGCTGCCCCACCCTTCAAACCAAAATGCATTACTGCTTCACGGCAGAAATAGACAGGGTGGTGGTACCTACCCGTGCGGACTCACAAGAGGTCCTACCACCAGTAATTACGCAAATTATAATTTTGCGGGTTTGGTTTTTATTACACGATGTTATTCCTTCACCTTGAAAGTCGATCGTGAACAGTTGTTGAGTACGTATTTCATTAGAAAAATTGGTACCCGCCTGAAATTCGAACACCGGTGCATCGCTCAACACGAATGCACCGGACGTCTTATCCTTTGGGCCACGACGACTTCATACGAGTCATAACAGACTAATTTTGACACATTTACGAGTACAACGTCAACAATCAAACAAAAGAGAACATAAATTGAATCTATATCTTGAGGTGTCAGTGATTGTGGAAAGTACAACCACCACTGGACTAACACATATATTCAAATGAGACGACTACCCAATAAGCGGTCTGTGATATTATTTGATTTTTTTATTGTTTAGTTGGGCGGACGAGCTCACGGCCCACCTGATGTTAAGTGATTATCGGAGCCCATAGACATCCACAACGTAAATGCGCCACCCACCATGAGATATAAGTTCTAAGGTCTCACTTTTAACTACGGCTGCCCGGCCCTTCAAGCCGAAACGTATTTTTTTATGAACATTTTGTTAACATTAACTTTTCTTGTACGATAGGAGATCTCTTCGTGTTAGTATTCGCTATGGACAGCCGCGAGTCCTTCGAGGAGGTCATTCGACTTCGGGAACAGATCTTGGAGACAAAGGCAAGCGCTAGCAGCAGTAATCGCGGGCGTCGACAAGTGCCCAGGGTCCCAATGGCCATTGCCGGGAACAAGTGCGATAAGGAACTTAAGTAAGTTGTGTAGAAAATGTTTGTTGTTGTTCTTTAAGGGATTGAAATAGATAGAGCAGAAAAGTTCGCGCTACATTTCATTCATCGACATCAAACAAAATGATTACNCCTGGAGACAAAGGCAAGCGCTAGCAGCAGTAATCGCGGGCGTCGACAAGTGCCCAGGGTCCCAATGGCCATTGCCGGGAACAAGTGCGATAAGGAACTTAAGTAAGTTGTGTAGAAAATGTTTGTTGTTGTTCTTTAAGGGATTGAAATAGATAGAGCAGAAAAGTTCGCGCTACATTTCATTCATCGACATCAAACAAAATGATTACAGAAGCATCATCAGCACATATTTATTGGTGGTAGGACCTCTTGTGAGTCCGCATGGGTAGATACCACCATCCCGCCTATTTCTGCCGTAAGACAGTTCGAACAGTAATCTGCGTTTCGGTTTGAAGGGTGGGGCAGCCGTTGTAACTAAACTGAGACCTTAGAACTCATATGTCAAGATGGGTGGCGGCATTTACGTTGTAGATGTCTCTGGGCTCCAGTAACTACTTAACACCAGGTGGGCTATGAGCTCGTCCACCCATCTAAGCAATTAAAATAAAAAAGCACATAAAAACAGTCATATGTCAACTGGAGAAATGTAGTGAGTACATTTTTCTCAAGACTTGTTTAATAATCTTTGTGTCAAAATCCTTTACTCTTAATCTCTAAACAGTACTCATATGAGATTTGCATTAGTGTGAAGCTAAAACCTTATAGACACCCGGATAACTAATGAAGTTGATTTTAGCTTAATTATGTTAACTGTAGTAATATATACGGAAATAGATTAGAAATATACCTACTTTTGAAAATTATCAGTGCATTAATATTATTATTAAATCATTGAGCATGTCACTTTCTTGCATAAAATATTTCATTCTATTCGAACCAGGACGGTGCAAGCTGAAGAAGCTCATGCCTATTGCACAACACAAGATTCAGCCTGTGTCTTCGTCGAAACATCGGCCAAGAAAAATTCTCACGTCGACGATCTCTTCTACGAACTATTTGTTGTGGCAAACTTACCTCTAGAAATGGCTCCAAACCATCACAAACGCGTCAGCACGGCCTTCGGGAGCCCGTGCACTCTCCCTCCTACCAGCAGTCAGAGTAATCGAAGCAAAAAATGTACATTATCGATAAAAAGGAGATTGTCTGATGCTTGCGGGGTCGTTGCTCCGAACGTGAGGCGGCCTAGTATTCGGACAGATCTGATGATAATGAGAACGAAGACTTGTGCCAAAGGTGACGGAGACAGCTCTAGCGGCAGTCCCAAGCTCACTCTCAACAGACTGGTGCGACCGACCGGACAAAATGAGAAGCGATCATGCGTTATACAGTGACATTCGTGGCTTTTTGAATGGATTCATAAGTCGGTGCTATGCCAAATATTAGTCCGTTTAGAGAGTAACAAAGTACCCCGTTTAGAATTAATCGTGTAAATAAATTAATAAGAATGGTACAATTTACATAATCGCCCCGTAATTAATTAAATAAGCGTTTAATTAAATATTGAAACTCAATTTGTGAAGGCTGTTGTTTCGTTGAGAACTCCGCAAAATGAGTTAATGAGCTCGAATTGGGTGCCGAATTTTAAGGAGTGTAAGAGGCATTGCAGCAATACAAACACAAACCGAGTGTTTGACTGTTTTTGAAGACTGCCAGTAGGAAATTTTCATAGCAGAGAATTTTCTTTCCGCTATTATTATTCGAGCAAACAAAAAATTAGTTTCGCCGATTCGAAGTTTTCCGTTGAAACTCTTGGGTTTATTTTACGTAAAATATACTAAAACAATATTGAGGAATTTACGTAGCTTCGTTTTTCGATTATTTTAGAACAATGTTGCTACGTACTCCGGCTTGATGAATGAGGTTTCAGACTGAACCAATCTATACTAATATTATAAAGCTGAAGAGTTTGTTTGTTTGAACGCGCTAATATCCGGAAGTACTGGTCCGATTTGAAAAAATTTTTCAGTATTAGATAGCCCATTTATTGAGGAAGGCTATATAGCATCACGGTAAGACCAATACAAGTCGAGCACCAATAAATAATGTTTCAAAATAGGAGTGTTAAACGGCTCGTTAACATTCTATAATTCAAAAATATTTTCACTTTCTACGTAAATGAAGTGGGAGTAAAATTTAGCGTTATGCCAAAGTAACTATTCCACGCGGACGGAGTCGCGGGCAAAAGCTAGTAAATAATGAAATGAGAAAATATTCAAATATTTATTGTGGTCGACCTTGTACCGCGTTCTATATAAAACGTTTATCAAAGTTTGAACCTTTGCCCGCCATGTAGGTCACCGGTGCCCTACGTGGCGCACTGAACTAATTATGTTGATTTCTCTCTTTTCCGTATTCTTCATAAAGCGCCGAAATATCTAGTAGACTCCGGGAAAGACCAATCCCAAGACAATGATAATTAACCTGTTTCTTTTTTTTTTTTTTTTTTCCTACCTATGCTGATAGCCTTGAGAGGCTATTTCAGCTTGGCCCTAACGTTTGTAGGTGAGCTCGCGGGGTGAGCGGTTGAGACCGGAGAGTTGCTAACACTGACCCTAGCAAGAGCAGTGCTTCGCAGAATCTACCACCGGATCGGAAACGCGACCCACTGAGAAGATCCGGCGAGAAACTCAGTGGGCTGTATCTATGGGTTAGTTCGCTCGTCGAGCCCTTCGTAATCTGTTTCTAATAGACCTAAAAGCCTAAAACATCCATTAAAAACAAAAGTAGACAAATTTAGGCAAACTAGACGCCTTAGTAACAGAACCTACATGACAGGCAAAGAGTTAATATTATAATACAAAATATACAAACAAACCTGTTTCTTGCAAGTTTTATTTGGTTGCCCGATGGTTCGTTGCTCGAGTATCAATTACTGGGAGAGTACTTAGCAGAAAATTGAAATGATATCATTGTTGCGATGGGACCAAAGTATCACAATATTGTTCTCGTTTATTTGTTGTTAATTACATAGATCAGTGGTTCTCAACCTTTTTTTTGTTGCGGCACATATTTAACGATTTCAAAATTAGGCGGCACACAAAAAAAGAAGAAATAAAATAAAATATACTATATTTTTTTTTTTTGTGGATTTAAATATATATTCATGTTTAAAATATTTTTCTTTTAAAATGATATAATTTAATAATATTAACATTATTATATATTCGCTAAATTTGGCGGCACACTTTTTAAATTTGGCGGCACACAAAAGTGCCGCGGAACAGTGGTTGAGACTCACTGACATAGATATTATTCGCAATTCATTGGTCTCTAATAGGCTCTTTAAGTAATAAAATTACCGTTATTATAAAAGTTTCAAGTTTGAATTGATTTAAATACGCATTCGCATTTAATATTATATCACGTTGATTCTATAAATGAATTTTATTACATCCATAGATAATTTATCTAGGAAAAAAAAACAAGATAATATTTACCCTATTTATATAGTGTTAAAGATATTTTTATTGTTATCATTCGAAATACTTTTGAACCTTAAATACATATCCGTAAACGTTAGAACAAAGTTATTGTTACATAAAACTTTTTAGAGTGATTCATAAAGTGTTTTAAGCATTTCAATGTATGAAGTTTAGTCTTGACCACAAATTGATATCAGACGAGACTGTTTAGTAAAAATAATTCTCAACTATTCTATACATCAACTACACTGGACATTAAAATTGGGAGTTACATTCTATAGAATAACAATTAAATTTTATTTTTCTATTATATGTTCCGTCGAAAATTATATATAACTTATGTATTGGCTATTGCGTTAACTTTGAGCTTTCATGTGTATATGCAATTTTAAATGAACTAGAATAATTTTTTTAAGGAATCCAACTTCCAATTCTGTTTTAGAAGTCATTGCAATACTTTTTAGCGTTCAAGTGCCAGTCCAATTTGTTTTTTTTAATAATATATTACAATTAACATATTAATACATATATACACTTAAACGTATAAGTACGCTTGCATAGTTTTATAAATAAAACATTAAATGCCTCCAATAGGGATGTTCCATTTGTTTTATTGTTTCGAATAATATTGGCGTAGTGATCAAGAATCGAACGTAATTGGGTCGTTTTCAATTGTGCGGCCAAAAAAGTAACGATTTTATGGATTTAAACTTTCTCTAATTTTCCATTTTTTTGTAACTAAGAATGTTCAGGATAAAAGATGCTTCATCACAATCAAGTCAATCACTCATTTATTAATAATATTATATAATATTCATTAATATTTTTCATTTTACGCATTTGATACAACACGGATGACACTTTAAATAGGAACTTTTTTTAAAAGCATAGAAACCGTACTTTTTTTGTTTTTAATAATGTTCTAATATTCAATTAGTTTTCTTTTATTATTGTATTATATTATACTCATGTTAATAAAATTGCCGAATTTCAACACGCGTTACTGGAAAAATAGCAAACAAGTTAGAATTTGAATTCCGAACCAGTGATACGAATGATATTTGGGGTAGTTTTTAATGTATAACTCCTGATTTAACAGTGCTTACGAATATATTATAATAAAAGGACCACGTGCCTGTTGTGATGACAACTGTACTTATAATTACGGTAACATTAAGGTTATGAGAATTAAATCAAATAGCTCGCTTTTGGACCCAAATTTGAAAACGACCCAGTTACTGACATCTTAAGTTTGGGATTTGTCTTTGTATCTATCGCATTTTTTCGTTTGTTTGTTATATCATCATCATCATCACCTCACAGCCGTCCACTACTGGACAGGCCTCTCCTAATCCACAACTCTGATCCCAGTTTTCAGCTCTTCTCATCCACCTCTTGCTGGCCAACCTTTGGATGTCATTGTCCCATACAAATAGAAGGAAATTGTAATTAAATGTTTTGGTTATATTTCATATTTGTATAAAAATTATTAAAAAAAACATGCATTTTACAACATCTCAAGCACCAATACCGATATTATGTTATGAATTTGAAGTCGTCCTGATCCAATAGGCGAGAATAGATTGGGTTCAAATTTTACGGATATCCATCGTTTTTTTTAAATAAATAGGTACCTATTACGTTCAAAAATTACTTCCCGAAAGAAAGAGAAATGTCGACCAATAAAACATTATCTAGGGCAGCAGCTTGATTGTATCTTTAGTATTGCTGATGTCCACGAGCAGAGATAACTACTCATCATTACATAGGCATATCATTACATATGCTCGTCTGCACACAGGGGTAATAGAAATAATGAAAATAGGTAAATTTTATGTTTACGTGATTACCGATTCTTGGAAAGTATGCATATACTTTTGTGGGGTCAAATGCTATTTGCCCGGTCATCGGTCTCGTCGAACCCGTTTTTCTATTTATGCTTATAGCCTTGAGAGGCTATTTCAGCTTCGCCCTAACATGTAGTTGAGCTTACGCGGCTCAAATCTGACGACGTTGCTAACACGAACCCTAGCAAGAGCTGTGCTTCGCAGAATCTACCACTGGATCGGAAACGCGACCCACTGAGAAGATCCGACGAGTAACTCAGTGGGCTGTGTCTGTGGGTTCATTTACTCGTCGAGCCCTTCGTCGCAAGCGACGGGTTCGACGAGAACGATGACCGGTGCTTGTGGTACCTAAAAGCACCGTTAGTGGATCGGGAGGATCTGAAATGACGTGTTTTGGACGACGTCGACTGCTTTCCATTCGGTCCGCAGGATCGGGTTCAGAACTGGCTGAGTTAGGAACTTTTTATATCAGGTTGTGGTGTAAACAATTCATAACGTAACTTCTTATAAAAGACGCACGTGCGAGAAAGACAACGATATGTTACAAATACGCTAGCCCAGCGGGAATATATATCTTTTTAGTTTACCCTCTAAGGTATCTTTAGGGTTATAATTATTATTTCAATTTATAGTGGAGGTCGATGAGAATTTAATAAAATCAAAAAAATATAAACACACTGAATCGTCATAAACATCCCTATTGGAGTTCTATTACTATCAAAATATTATAACTGTTTATCTAATCTATTGTTTTGTGTTTTGTATTTTACTAATGTATGTACCCTGTCTTCTCCTCTATATAATAAAGTGTTGGTATATTAATAAAGTATTTTATTTCCATTCGTAATTCATTAAAGAATGTTAAATGTTAATGGTTTTGACGGGATCAGGCTTTGTCGGCTTCGGCAGGATCTGGCCTATTAGTGTAGGCCATGGACATCATGAACGAAGTCGCCCACCATATTGTACAAATCGTATTCCGTCCTTAGAATCGGAAAGTATGGCTCCTTTGCGGCAGAAGTAGATAGGACGGTGCTACCTATTCGGGCTCATAGCACGGTCTATCTAATCGTCGTGGCCTAAAGGATAAAACGTCCGGTGCGTTCGTGTCAAGCGATGCACCGGTGTTCGAATCCCGCAGGCGGGTACTAATTTTTCTTATGAAATACGTATATAACAAATGGTCACGATTGACTTCCACGGTGAAGGAATAACATCGTGCAATAAAAATCAAACCCGCGAAGTTATAATTTGCGTAATTACTGGTGGTAGGATGTCTTGTGACCCCGCACGGGTAGGTTCTACCACCCTGCCTATTTCTGCCGTGAAGCAGTAATGCGTTTCGGTTTGAAGGGTGGAAGCCGTTGAAACTATAGTGAAACCTTAGAACTCATATCTCAAGGAAGGTGGCGGCATTTACGTTGTAGATGTCTATGGCCTTCTATAACCACTTAACACCAAGTGGGCTGTGAGCTCGTCCACCGATCTATGCAAAAAATAAATATAAAAAAAACGCGCTATACCGGTATATATTGTACTAAAATCCTCTATGGATCCACTTACGCACTTAGATTACTAGATTATGGATCCACGAATAATAATTAATGACTTCGGTATAACATGTGCATATTAATT